AAAATTAACGTAATATATACATTTCAAAATATACTAAAATATGAACACTTTGATTACCTTCAAGTTGTTGTTCAATTTTAACAAAATTTGACATATATGATCTAAGAGATATGAACTTTCAATCTAACGGTTGGATTTTCAAAATTCACGTTTACTATAAAGTTATTAAGCGGTGTTACACTTAGTAAAAGTTACACCGGTGTCGTTTGATCCCTCCTCATATATATATATATATATATATATATGTATAAACAATTAATAACTATCTTGTAAGATCTGCACTGCAATGTAGGGTTGATTTATATCAATATATGGTACTTCTAAATTCGTTTTTTATTAGTGCCCAAAAAGTTTGTCTTGCAAATTAGTCTGAAACCTTGTGTAAATACCATATTTATATAGACAGAAAAAAAATATATATATAATATGATATGATGCAAAATGCAAGACATGGAAAGTGTGTGCATATATAGCATATGCACAAATTAATCTAATACCATCAGGGTTCAGGGTGGGGGACCAAATCTGATTTCAGAATGTGAAATTCATAGACCCTACACTCCCTAACCCTAATCCGTAAGTAAGCACCAAGTGGGCTTCCTGATATATGCTGAGTTTCAAAAATCCCAGTTGCATTGCAGATAAGACAAATTATGCAGGACAAGCCTTTTTTTCCGAATATATATTATGTATATAATCAAAATTACCCGCCATACTTCATATACTAGACAATGACATGTCTGTGCTGTGCCTTAACGTTTTTTCCATTCGCACGTACACATGCTTCAAGGCTCATTAATTACGTTGCACATGACCATCTTTCTGAAACTAAACTAGACGAAGATGAAGACCATGTTTGTTATTTTGATTTTCAAACCATAACATCCTTATATTTCATAAGTTGATATATCACGGTCCACGGATAAGTTATAGTTTTTTTCTTGGTTCATGAAATATGGTATGGTCGACTACATATATAATGGGGGTTTTACAACTTACAACATATATATAAGACGAAAATACTTTGTTGCTAATGCATCAAAAAGGTCCAGTCAGCTAAGTTTATATATGGCAGCAACAGCAACAGCGTATACAATGATATGCATACTATACTAGGAAAAGGAAATATAGGAACCCTTTAATTTATCCTTTTCAGATACAATTGTTTATTGGTTTTTTTTTTTCTTCCAGCAAATAACCGCTTTATTACATTCAATAACTTATTTTGATATTTATCTGCTGATGCTTACATTTGAAACGGCTTAGATTTTGTTGGACGATAATATACATTTTTTATTAAGATTGGGTGATAATCTACTAATGGATCCTTACATAACCAATAAGACAACGTAATACAGTACGATGAGGACTTTAATGCATCATATACGGTAGTTTAGTGGAATAACAATGATGCATGCGAAATGTGTACTTCATGATAAATGATTTTCCAAGCCAAAAAATTTAAAGATACTGTATAGTAGTATCACATACTAGCAGTATATAGTACGGAAGTTTAGTGAAAGAGTAAAAACAATGATGCAAAATGTGTTTCTTCATAAATGCTGTGTCGACCCGAAACATTAATGTTACTATAAAAAGTTAAATACGGAGCAATGTATGTAGGTACGTATAATCAACTATATAGTGGGTGATAATATTTATTAAAATTTTAAAACATTTTTTTAATATTTATTATCTAATAGTTTTCTTCTTCTTCTTTTCCTAATTTGTGCACTATATAATATATATATATATATCGTCGCACTTTCCATTTCTAGTACCCCTTCTTTTGGAAAAAAAAAATAGTTTTATGATAACTTCCAAAACTAAAGGCAGCAAATGGAATGCGGATCTACTTACATTATTGCTCTTGGCAATGCATGTTTATTGTACGATAAATTAATATCCACCCTTCTCTTAGAAATAAAGTTTGTATATTAAAGTATAAAAAAGAAGTAGAGTTTACTGTGCAAGGTTATATTTCAAATAATTTTATTTGTCTTATAATAGTATAGTAATTAAAAAAAAAAGTAGAAATTGTTTGATGAATCTTTTTAATACAAAAGAAAGGACATGAAAAATAAAAGAAAGAAAAAAAATACAAGAGAGAAAATAGATTTTGATATCTACTCGTTGTCACCATTATACACCAAGACAAATATTGGATTATCTCTAAGCCAACAAACACCTCTATATTAAATAGAGGGAGTGAAAAAAGATATATTTTTTCTTAAAATCACTTCGTGCATGTTGTTTTGATTTTTTATTATTTTTTTTACATTAGAAGATAGGTTACTAATTAAAAAAAAAAAAGTTTGTTTAGTCCAAGTTTTTATAATTTAATTTAAAAAAGGTTAACTATATATGGTGGAAAAGAAAAAGAGTAAAAGGTGGAAACGGTGAGGAAGTAGCAGTCTAACGTGGTCCAAATGCAATGGCTACGAATATCTGCTTTTGCCTTGAGCTAGCAAGTGCCATGAAAAGTATCCGCTATTATGCCACTTGCTTCTGTCAGAAATTGGTTCTATCAAAGGCCCAAACGCATTTTCATGTTGCCTTCAATCACAATTCTCATTTTATGTGCCACTTGGCATTTTACAGATCCTCTCTTATTTTTCTTTGGCTTTTATTGGGAACTTGAGAACACGACTCAATTCGACCAAAACAGAAAATATAAATGAAAAAGAGACTTAAGTTTTGCCTTTTCAAGGGGGGGCAAAACTAAAGTCTTGGTCTTTTTTACCTAATTGCTTTCGGCATATTTTAAAAAAAAATTAAGCAAAAACTGTTGATAGAGTTGACTTTCCATGTTATAATTTGATAAAGTTGACTTGTTTCGCATTATTTTGCAAACAAATTGAATTTGCTTCTTAATCAATAGATACAAGTAAAAAAAAATATACTTTTAGATGAACTACCAGGATCCTAATATGAACATCGTTTCTTATTTGAATAGAATCTCTAAAAACTTATATATATGTTGAGCTTGAGTGATGATCTATATCAGCACGACTTATCTACGGGAATTAATTAATTATCCTTGCACATTGGCCACAAATGTAAAAAAAATTGTCCCAAACAGGTTTTTCTTAAAAAAATAAATAAATAGTTGTTCACAAGGTTTGAATTCCTGGTGAAGTATGTAGATGTCAGGTATAAATTTACCTGAACAAACTCCGCCTAAATAAATCAATAAATCCCGACTTTATTATTCATTGTACAACAAACAGTTTAATTGTAAACCTGCAAAATTCATTAATTATACTGTAAGATTTTATACCGAGTTGTCGTTCTATATACCACTTCTACCCAATATTTCTAATCCAGTACAACATTCTTGTCCATGTTTCACTGTCCCTATAGCAGAAGAAAAGGTTTACTTATACGTAAACTTTATATCAATTGGATAGGTGACTCGAGTTAATAAAATTCAATCCCTCTCCAAGTATTTGTCTAATTATTCAACGCCAAGTGCAAAAATAAACTAACGTGCCTTTTCTTTTAAACAAAAATCTTAACAATAAAAAGGAGTGAAAATCAAAACGGTCAAATTTAAAGTAGTCTAACAAAGATTAAGGATATTCCTCTCTATTTTCACTTTTTAAAAAAAGGCAAAAATATATTTAAACTTTTTATGAATGTTACCCTGGCCTAGTAAGAAATATTGAGTTGTTTAACATTAGATAAAATTACTGTAAAAGAAAGATGAAAATGTTAAAATATAACTTAATTTATTTGGTATAAAGTAGTTACGTTAGTACAATACATAGGCATATTTTATTTGTAGTGTATGCATCTTATCTTATGGTGAAGGCATGGCGGCTAATTAACGTGGGGAAAATATTGGAAACAATTAAATTAAATGGCAAAAGAATATAAAGCAATTAATTAATAGGAAATTTAGAAATAGGGGCATATAATTAATATAATTAAACGAAAAGCTGCATCAGTTGAAGAGCAAACATAAAAAACTAATGAACAAAAAAAAGGGGGCATTGGCGGCGATACAAAATTTGGCGATTTGGGAGGCAAGAGAAGGAGCAAGAGTAGTGATGAAATCAAAGAGCGAGAAGGGGATCGGAGAGAAAGAAATCATCGATGTCTTGGAAGAAGTCAGGACTTGTGTCCGTATTCCAAGTTTTGAATCCGAAATCCTCAGAAGCAGCATGCCAATCGTCCAGGAAGAACGCAGTCTCCGGAGAAGAGCCTCCAAAATCGAACGTCGGAAGCGGAGGAAATGCTGACTCACCTTCTTCGGACAAGGAGCAACAGTGAAGCACGGAAATAGGCGACAAGAGCTTTTGCTTTTCGTTTTCAACCTCAGACCGACTTTCCTCGCCGTTAAGCGCCCACTTGCCGGGAGCCGTTACAAAATTCGTCAGCGCGTCGGCTCCACGCAGCTTAATGGCGGGGGTGTTGTGGCGC